GGAACCGTTCACTCTTAAGCACGTTATTCGTGACTCGGTCCTTTTGGGTCAACGTAAAGGGTTTGGACATAAGGATTTCTCCAAAGCAATTTTTACTACATATGTCCTTAAGGATTTCTCCACAACCATTTTTACTACATATGTCCTTCAGCCATCTGACCTTCCGGTTTCCAGGTTTTAAAGGCTTTCCACAGAACCCTTGACGTTGCAAGTGGCAAGCGTCGCAGCGGCGATAATGTCCACTAACATGCTCCATATGTACTGCGTAAGCTTATTTGCTGTCACCTCCAACGAGCTTCAGAAGGGGGATTCGTTGATCACTATGGCCGACTGATATAGTCACATTCACCGATGTGAGAAACTTTTGAAACTTTCCACAGCAACATGAGTAATGGAAATCGTTCCCACATCTCAAAAGTACTTCCACAAAGAATCTCGTTAGCGGTTCAGTTGTGGTTTGTTCGCCAAGCAATATCTAGGCTTGAGTAGTTTCCACGCTAGGTCCAAATTTTCAGGCGCATACAGTCATGATCCCTGCAAACGATAGGGCGTCTGATAGGGGCATCGTTTGGAACGAACCAGATTAGGTTTTTCCTAGTTGTAACGAGCTCAAGACGGCATTTGTGGAAAAACAGCGCCTTGGCTGCGCTCCAATAGCCGCCGACCCCCTCCCCTCCCTAGAAGACAGTCATCAAAATTTTCTATGCGGCACTCCCCTTAGTGATGAGGAATCGCAGAATAAACTATTGCCGACGGTACCAACCATTTGGTATACTCCCTACGGTTATCCCTCACTAACTTCATCTGCCAAACCATTGCTCAGTTTCACCTTACTCCCCATTTCGTGGGGTTTTTCGGAGTGCGTTTTGAGGGTTTTTGTCCTCGGCACCGTTCACTTCGGCGAACGCCCCGCCCATCAGGGGTGTGCTTCATTGATTTCGTCCGCCAACTGATTGCCTATCATTTGCCACATTTTCCACTCTCCGGGCTCCTTTGGAACCGAGTTACGAATTTTTGAATGTTTTGTGGCAAGCACCGCCCACCTATGGAACGCCCCGCCCATAATGGGTATGTCTCACTCATTTCGTCCGCCAACTGATTGCCTATCATTTGCCACATTTTCCACTCTCCGGGCTCCTTTGGAACCGAGTTACGAATTTTTGAATTATGTAGCTCACAACTGTGCGCACGCCCCGCCCACAGTGGGCGGGGCTTAGCCTAGTTCACGTGTGTTCCGTACATCTTGGCCCATGCCCTACCCATCCCAACCTTGACCCGCCCCCTGAAACCTTCTTAAGCCCACCCAGATATCTAAGGCAGGAAAGAACAGCACTGGATAGCTGAATAGGACCGAACTTTGAGAAAACATGAAATCAAGATTGACTGCGAACAACCTTCAATGTGTGAGAACAGAATGAATTGAAAAGTCTTGTTTTCAGTACTGCTATCTTCAAGCCAACAGCGTTTTTGCATATTCTTGAGATAGGGCCCACCAAAAAACAATAGAACAAAATGAATTTCAACTCCTACTTCATGTTGCGTTTCAGTTCTTTGGTGCGATGTTCATGTCCTGCTTTCTGACCCAAGCTTTGACCGGGATTTCCTTGGTGATACATCGCGTTGTTTATACAGCAATTCCTTTCAAAGCTGAGCGAATATTCTCACCAACTGTCCTAAAGGTAAGTCACAAATTTCACAAGCAGTTTTCACATTGCTCACTCATTCTCGCATGTTCATGAGAAAATGTACAGTTTGAATTTCAGATTCATACGGCTTTACTGGGAGTGATTTTCTTGGGCTTAGTAGGCATTATGTGTTCCCCTTACGCTGGACTTTTATTTTGTCCTCAAACTATGGACAGAATCCTTGTAAAAGCTCCTGCCACGCCAGTGATACAATGGTATGTATGTTCAGCTACGACCTTGTGAAAAGTACCCTGAGACGAAACAGCTTCAGCATCAAGAACAATTCAGGATGAACACGGTATGCAATTATTTGGTGGGAATAAGTACGGTCTCCGCCTACACTATTGTTATCGGTGTTTTAGTCATAAGAGGAAATATCACGTTCCATTCCAACGCGGAATATCGCATGATGATACAGGTAGGTAGCTGACTATCAAA